TGAATTAGGACGGATTCTTACAAAGCAAGCAGAATCAATTTTTAATAAAAGCAGAACATACTCTTTGCATTTTAGGGCATATTTGGGAGATTTTGAAATGGTTACAATTACTTGTACGGTATTCCAAACCACTCTGAAAACATGCTTTTAATTATTCAAAACCAATTTTTATGATGCTAAAATCGCCTTTAAAAGTGTAAAATGATGCATCAAGTTGATTTTGAATGACTAAATTTTGAGTAATTCTAAACCTAGTGATTTTAACCATTACAAAATCACTTATAAACATGCTCTAGACATTTATCCAGGTTTTCCTATTCTATAACAACAGTGTGCTTAGCCCTTGTATAATGAATTTTGCAATTAAACACTTCGATTAAATTTTTTGTTTGTTTAAGAAATCTGAATTAATCTCCCTCTGATCTCAAGCCCCAAAAAAGAGTAATACTTCAGCCACCATAAAACTTCTCACTAATATATTCATGTCTAGAAGTGTGAGAAACAAGTGATAGAATAAGTACACTTTCGTTATTTTAGGAAAAGAAATCAAACTTTCATCGAAAAAAATGAAAGACTACAAGATCATACAAAAAACAAGCCCAAAAGAAACAGGTGTCTGACTCTAACTACAGAAGGAGCTTCGATCAAAAGAACAACCCCAAGACCACAACTACAAAAAGGCCTAATGACCAACGCCCACAAGGAAGCATAAGCCTAACAACCTCTAAATCTCCTCACCCCACTTATCATTCTCCGAAAAAATCTCATTACATCTCTCAGCAAGGAAGCCGTCTCTCCCTAAAGGGAGGATTCAAAAGCACCCCTCCAACAACGATCGTCCATCTCTATGGTCCACGTCACTAACACCAAACAAGCTCCAATCAATGACCCTAAAGATAGTTTGCAAACTAACACTCCCATAACAAATGATCCATGTACTCCTCATGCCTCCTACAAAGAATGCACCACTGCGAGTACAAAACTAAGGAAGAGTGTCTTTGGACACAATCGAATATATTAACCCTCTCAAGTAAAACTTGTCATGCATAAAACGTCACTTCATTAGGAATTTTGAGCTTCCATAGGAGGAAAAAAAGAAGCCACCAGAGCAGCTACCGACGCATGAGGAAAAGACATAATAAAAATATGACTGGAAGAAGAAACCCCTAGAAAGGTCAGAGGTCCAGACCCTAGCACCCCTTCTCCAAGGGGAAATATACTGAGGGATATAAAGGAGAGTTGCCGCTTGATAGTCCCTATCAGTAAGAAGACACGGAAAGACTACAGAGATTGAAGAACAGTTGCAACACTGAAGCCACTGAATGCAACTTCTTATCTGTAAGGAATCTAAGAAATACAAATGGAAACTAAACAGAGTATCAAAAATAACATTCGAAAATGTGATGAAGGTGGAGGATTTCAGCACCAAGGTGAATAATATTGAAAGATTGTAGTTGCAAAGATTGATACTGCTAAACGAACCACTTTACATATTAAAATGCTCATAGACATAGTTCGCCCTCAACAACGTAAAATATTACTTTTGTATTTCCTACTTGTTCCCCATTAAAGTTTCTTCTCTTCCTTATATAAAGACATTCTTGTATTATTCAATACATAAAGCCACCACGTTATCCAAAAATTGACTTTACTTATCATAGTTTGCTGTTAAACTTAGCGTTTGGTGTTGTTTAATTGTCTTTTCGCATTCAAATCTTCGTAGATAAGTTGAATCTTTAACAACCTAAAGATCTGCTGAAATCCATTGAGGAGAAACCGCTGGCAGAATCGAAAAATCAAGCATAAACACACTGTATGTTCAATTACGAAACTTACCCACCTTCCCCGCATTTCTTTTAATTTTTTTTAATATCCCCACCCCCCCCC